TTTCCTGCTCCTAGTTTCTGGGATCCGCATAAGCTTAATCAGGGTTCTGGTATGTGGCTTCACAAACGCTGGTGCTCAACACCAGGGAGCATGTGGTTACCCTGCACCAGACCCTGCTAATCCACCTCCACACTGTGACTCCTACTCTGAACATCAGGCATACATGGGTCCAGGTCCACGCACCGCCGCCCGGACAGTGTCTGGGTCCCGGGCACCGGACCGCCACCCTGACACTTGTTGATTGATAGGGGATCAAATACTTATTTCACTCATTAACGTACAAATCAATGTAAAACGTTTTTGACATTTTTCAGGATTTTTTTTGTTGTTGTTGTTATTCTGTCTCTCACTGTTAAAATACACCTACCATTACAATTATAGATTGATCATTTCTTTGTCAGTGGGCAAATGTTTAAAATCTGCAGGGAATCAAATCATTTGTTCCCCTCATTGTATATATTATATTGTTGCTACCCCACGGTTTAATCATTTTGGAAAGAAAAATAAATATATCTAATAAACATTAAGTTCTCCTAGAAAATAGGGACAGAGGGATTTGGGCAGAAAATAGAATACAAACTGTGCATTCATTTTTTTTCTTTATTATATAATAGAAATGTTATGTGTTATTTTGCGATAGTAAAATTATCAGGAATAAAAACTGATTAATTTGGCAGGCAATAGCTCAGGCAGAAATAAGGCACCAATATATAAAGTGTGACATTGACCATTGTGACGAAATCCACTTTGCCACTGGTTTTTGGAGGGGCCTGTTTGCCAGCCTCCTACCCTGGGACTATGGGCCCTGTGATAACCCATGTTCAAAAGCACTGTTTCTGCCCCTTGGACTTTTAACTGGAACAGATTCAAACATGTGGCGGCGGCCATCTTAAATTGTCCAGCAGTGTTTTGTCGTCGGGTGTATGGAACTGTTTTGGGCATGGGACCATGTGCACGGTGGGGCAAAAATAAAACTTCCAGGAAATTCCTGAACCCCTGAACCGATCTGGGTGATTTTTGGATATGTTGTTCACCCATATCGGGGCTATCGGGGATGTGAGTGGGGATATGTTTTATTTTGGGGTACTTTTGGGGTTTGTAAAAATGTGTTTTGTTTTTTTTCTGTTTGGAGTTAATTGAGTTAGCCCATTGTCTTTGTTAATTGTATCACAGGCGTAGGGGAGGGATTGTGTGCTGTAAGTGGGAGTGTCGGACATTGTTGTATTCTGATTGGTTTGTGTCCTTTGTGTGCCTGTGTTCCATCAGGTCCAGGGGGTGTGCCTCTGGCCTGAGGAATTGTATAAAAGCCAACCTGTACCAATAAAGCTTTAGACTTGCTCTACCCTTCATGAAGTTTCGGCTCATGTTTGGGGGATTGGAGAACTACCTACACTCTGGGGTTTGCTATAATCACTAAGCTCTTGTAAGAGCTTGTTCCTGTTCCTGCTCTCTGGACTAAGCGAGATCTGCCTACTGGAAGCTGGATCCTGGTCTTGGGCCTAGAGTGGGTGGAAGACGGCGAGACCCCAACCAAACTGCGGCAGCTCGGGAGTCTGCGGTGGTTATGGTGTCTAGTGGAGTACTTGGAGCCCTCGGAAAGTACTAGGAGCATCCGTGAACGGAGGTACCCAGTCGGGGTGCCAGGCGATCCGTTACAACCGTTTTAAACATAAGAAAATGATGTAAAAAACTAACAGAAATGCGACACTTACCATACATTAAAAAGTTGAGCGACCGCCTGTGGATTCCATGGTGATTACGAAGTTTGCGCCATTTTTCAGTGACACTTTCATAAATCTCTACCCTTCCTGTGTTCATAAAGATTAACTAGGATCTGAATACAATGGGGGAAATTTATCAACATCCCACTAACGAAGAATCATGTGTTCCTGAATTCTCGATTCTGCCAGTTGTTTATTACTTATTTTGTGTCTCATTCTATTTATTAATATTTCTGTATTTTCCCGCACCATAAAAGTATTCCATTCTTTGGTGATCTTTTATGCCACTTTCATTTTGTCTCTGAATAATCACAACGTGTTCTTTGTTAATGGTAGAAAAACCTGTTGGACTATACAAAGAAAAACAGCAACACTTTTAGACTACTTTTCGAAAACATTAAAATTGGGAAAGATTTTGAATTCGAAAAAAATAGATTTTTATTTTCAGATCACTTTGATAAATCTCCCCCAGTTCTGTGATTACATGGACACTGCATGGGAGTCGGACGTGTGTGACGATAAGTGTCGCAAGGAGTGGATAAAGGTAATCACTCATCGAGGTTCGTTATCTGTCTCTGCAGAGACTCTATAGTTTCTGTGAGTGAACGAGCTCCCTCCAGAGTTACCCCCATTCCGCGCTTCGTGTCTTGTGGCATGATGATTAGTTGAGTTTGTGAAGTTACAAAAAGTTGTTTTTATCATAGAGTGCTGCCCTGTCTTTGGTCATATCTTCCTCACCAGTTCCTACCGCATCACCTCCAGAACTGCTATTTGTCTGCTCCCCCGGATGACATGATGTCTTTTGCTATCTCAATGTTCTTTGGTTCTCCCATCTGCCTCTCCTCTCCTCTCCTGTGTCTTCCCATTCCTTCAAGAACCACACTTAATAGTACTCCCACATCACTAATACATGGTCAGATATTGCTAGGATTATTCGAACATTCTCGGTTTGTACACTTTCCATTTGATTTGTTAAGAGCTCTCGGATTTGACCAGGACTTGACGTGATTCAGAGTTGTTTGTAAAGTGTTGATGTTCTTTACATATGATTTTAGGGTTTATATGTTCAAGAAAGTGTTTTAAGCAAAATATCCAGATAAAATGTATGTGGATGTTTGTCTGTGATTTTTTTTTTTTTGTCAAAATTGTGTGAAAGTAGCACTGTTCCTACATTTTCTGAGACATGACTGTTAGGGCAGACCCGCTGGGCAGACTGGGTTCTTTGCCATTGAAGGGCAAGGCAGCATTGAGTACGGACATGAGAATCAACATGTGCTTATTACAGTTAGTATGTATAACTAGCAGATTATCCTACTCAATATCACTTATACAAAATAACTAGCAGATTACCCCACTCATTATCAGTCATTATACAAAGTAACTAGCAGATTACCCCACTCATTATCAGTCATTATACAAAGTAACTAGCAGATTATTACTCCACTCATTATCAGTCATTATACATAGTAACTAGCAGATTATTACTCCACTCATTATCAATCATTATACAAAGTAACTAGCAGATTACCCCACTCATTAACAGTCATTATACATAGTAACTAGCAGATTACCCCACTCATTATCAGTCATTATACAAAGTAACTAGCAGATTATTACTCCACTCATTATCAGTCATTATACATAGTAACTAGCAGAATATTACCCCAC